TTTTCATCAAAGAGTGGAATGTCGGTTGGTCGTGCTAACGAGCCAAAATGTTGATTCCAACCTATATATGGTACTTCCTGCCCGTTGTAAGTATGATCACCCACCTTAAGCTCAGATATGCATCCTTTCAGTTTCCCTCGATGCTTGTCTATAAGCTTGTACAAACGCCCTGGATCATTTAATCTAGCTTCCATGATCTCCTCTCGGTCACGCAGGAGTTTCTGGGCAGACGCGATCCTAATATGTTTCCTCAGCTCCTGTTTCGCAAGCTTCCTGGGTATAAGCAAGAGGATGGTTGGATCACTTGGCCGACCGTTGATTTCCATTCCCAGTGGCATCTACGTGAGTTACGTATAGAGGATGCAATGTTCTTATTCCACACTGTGAGATGATTTGTCTTACGTCTATGACTTGGAGCACCAATATTGGAGGCTTTAGCAGCTTTGCTTAGGAGCTCATTCATATCATGTACCGCCTTTTCAATGACGACTTTGCTTCCAGAGTCGATTGTACCTTCAGTGTTTCTTCTGAGACTAGTGCTTTGTAGTAGTCAGTATCAATCTTTTTCCATAGCGTTTTTCTGTTCCGTAAGGGAACTGATGATTTGACGTGACAAGGAATTGTTCCTTTCACCGTTATGATAACAGGGTAATGATCTGAAGTATTGGAAGAAAGGTAATTAATATCACGTATATGATCTAGGGGTAGAGCTAGCCTGCTGAAGAAAATAGTCTATGGCCGTGCAATCCCTCCCATTGGAATGGACAAAGGTTTTTCAAGCTGCCGTAATGGATAGGGAGTGTTCATCAACAAAGCTATATAGAGAAGCTATTCTCTTGCCCGTGTTCAATTCATGGAAGTGCTCGTTAAAGTCGCCGCCTATGATTGTCGTGTGCGTGGCCTGAAATTTGTTGCTAATTTCTTGTAGTTGCTCCAGCACTTCAGTGAAGCTGTCTATCACATCACTCTTCCCTTTAGAAGGCATGTAGACAGAGGTTACAAGAAATTTCGTGCATCTGGTAGAGATTTCGGTACACTGTATGCGGTTACCACCGTCTTCAACAGGGCGCACCTTGTGGTCTATACTTTTATCCCACAGTATGGCGACTCCACCATATCCCCTGGGTATCTGGGCTGGCGATATCGGGTTGTCGGTTTCTACCGCCTTACCTACTCCTCTCAGTTCATCAATGACTACATCGTACAACCAATGTTCCTGTAGGAGAATAACAGCTGGTTTTTTTCTCGTTCATACATATTGCTGAAGTGCATATGTTCTTGCAGTTTTATGTTACAAATTTGAAGGATTATTGGTTAACGGCGGTATCGTTACAGTTTATATTTGGAATATGTGGTATGGGGCCTACACGTGGGAGATATTGGAGTTGAGAAGTGTGTGAGTTTCCAGATGTATGGCTCATCGGAGGCACGACCACTTGCGGAGGTTTTACGAATATAGTAGGGTGACAGGGTTGTTGATTCATGGAAGAAAATATTTGCTGTTGCTGTTAAGTCTTTATCCTTGAGTTTTGGTGAGGGAGCTGATGTGTCTGCATATGAGGCTGATGTGGTTGTGGAAAGGACTGATGTGAGATGAGTGTAGAAGCATTCATCTGCTGGTGGTATCTAGTGGCAGCAGGGATCGCAGAATGTTGAATTTGTGATGGCTCTAGCTTGGTTTGCATTTGTGGAGAGGGAGTTTCTGTGTTGTATTGTACATTCCCATATCCATTTTGGAAGCCATGTTTTTGATGGGGAAGTTTGGGCTGACTGGGGACCCTGTGTACAGGATGAGTTTGTCCCGGAGTGCGGTTTGCGGATGACTAATCACACTGGGAAACATTCCACCTATGATTGCCCATTCTAGCATTACTAGTGTCAGAGTGTGCAGTATCTGCATATCGAGTATTTAACTGATCTGATCCTGATCCATCCAACCGATAGCGCTCAATAACACCGATCTCCTGGTCGACCTTTGTGAGGGTTAAGTTTGATATCCTTTCATGGATACTGTCCAGGAGCCCTGAACTGCTACTATGTCCAGCCCTTGCGGGTGCATTACATTGTTGGTATCACCCATATCATCATGCAATGCTAGTTTACGACGAAGGATTCTGTTGGACTTGTCAAGTTCCTCAGCTCAGCTATATAAGATCTGAGTTGTGTAATATCCTTTTTAGTCTTGTGCACAGTAGTTACCGACTCAGGCTGCAAACTTATCTCGTTGAGCTGCTGGTCCCCAGTTCCCGCACAATCTGTGATTATGTTGTATTGGGAAGTTACACTATCCAGATAATGAGCTGGGGTCTCTACTTCTGAGCCGGAACTTAAGTGTGAGATATTTATGTCCACTTGCATGAGGTTAGTCTCATCCCTATGCTCATCACTGGCTTTACAAACTAAACAAATAGCTGTACTTCACTCGGTTGAGCTCTCCATACAAGTAGGATGACAGTGCTGCTTACATAGGTCACATACATCAAGGTCAATACATGCAACCTCATCACAAACATGGCAATTAATCGATTCAGCCCTACAATCAAAATCATCCTCGAGAATACCACAGGGTAATAGTTGAGACAAAACGTCCTTATCCATTCTACGTTTAGCTATATAACGTTTTGAATCGTCTCTTTCTTTACTAATAACATCCCTTATTACATTAACACAGTTATCTTGTGTTTGTAGCATCTCCTTGCGCTCACGCTCTAGCTTGGAGTTATCAACTTGCAGCTGCTGAACCTGGAGTCGCAGTGATGTATTTATTTCCTTCATATCATCTATCTGTTCATCTTTCGACTGAACGTATGTACAGAGTGATTGGATTTTAGACTGAAAACCGTTTATACACCACTGGATCCGCACGGATGCTGCAGTCTTCATTTTGGCAGAGGTAGCCGTATATCGATTCGGATTCCGATGTGGATTCGGGTGCGGCTTCGGATGCTGGGGTAATTTTGCTATATCATATAATATGAGGGGCCACATGAGTCTTGACAACAATCCATGTTGAAATAGCCATGCCTTAAATTTGCTAGGGAGATTTGTCTTATCTATTTGCTTCAGACCTTCTTGGAGTTGGTTCGTGATGCGGCTTACGCTGCTTGCGTCATTCGGGCTGGCATCACACCATTTGCCCAGGCACTTTATAGCATTGTCTTCTACGGATGGTATGTCTTCTCCCTGCTCCTGGAGGTTAAATCTTTGTGTGACCTTCCCCGTCTAAATAACCAGTCTGCTCGACTTCTTTGGATTGTTTGGACTTCATTCTTGCTCATTTCACTGTCTCATCCAACGCTGAAAGAACCCAACGAGCTTGCACATGTGTCGCTGTAGTTATGGTCAGGTCATCCATGAAACCTCTGTATGAAGGAAATTATAACCCTGAGGCTGTTTCTAGTCCTGTGGTTCCCTCTATGCTGCGTTGATTATCAAGTTCATCTCATCACAAATAACACAACTGAAATAGCACAGCCTGTTACTATTCCCTTCTCGAGTTTCTGCCATAGTGTTGACCTTTCACCCACAGCAAACCGCAGTTGAATGTCACTGAAGTACACATTGGTGATTCCTTGAATATGGTCTCGGATGTGGTGGTGCTTTAGTGCGGTCTCGATAAACTTGCGTGGCATGGAACCATAAGCGTTGGCGAGGTCTAACCAGACGACTGTGAGGTCGTTGTGGTTTACATTAGCTTAATTCTCTGATAATCTGATTAAAGGCACCTGTGTGTTCCATGAATCCCGAGAAACCTGGTACTCCTCCTTTCTGCACTTGTGTGTACTGGTTTGGTGTCAGTTAAGTTGTCATTCGTTTGGCCAGCACAGCAAAGAATATTTTCCCTTCCACGTTTAGTAAAGAGACGGTTCTGAATTATGCAATGTTGTTTGAACATTTTTGCTTCGGTGTAAATATTCTCTCTGCCTGTTGCCAACAATATGGTACTTTGCACGTGGTCAGGCAGGTGACCTTATACCTTTCCACGTCCGTTCGGGGAGGCGAACCCCGGCCGTCTCAATAAAAGGCGGATGCGCTATCCTATGCGATGCGACACTATAACGTTTTTTCCTCTCCTGACAATCATAGAAATCAAACTACGGCACACTTATTTTATTAAATATTAATATACAGGGAATAGTTTAGCGATGGTACAATTTATAGAAATAACGCTACTGCATATTGATAGTAAAACCACGATAAAACAGAATGTTACATGTCGGAATATCATAAAGGAATTACAGCAAATTAAGGTAAAGTTCCCAATGCTAAGATACAGTTTTTGATACAGGGATCATTAAGTGACAAATATCAAAGATATTATAAAAAAAAGGTTAATGACTCAGAGGAGCAGGTTTTATAAAACAAGGGGGATGCTGACAAACTCCGTATTACATGGATACAAATTCCACTTTTCTTGTGTGTGACGGTGGCTCCATTCTGTAACATTCGATCGCGTCACCACTAGAGCAGTGTGCCAATGCGCGTCCATAAACTCCACGGTAAGTTAGTGAAAACAGTTCAAATGATTTCTTATTTTCACTATTAAGAAGTTTTAAATTTTGTATCGAAAGAAGAAAAAATGGTGTCGTTTACCTTTTGTTTTCTAAATATACTCATTTATCGATGTAGATTCGCTGGAACTATATTATCCTAACAACCAAAGCTACCGTAGTTACCAACTCTGTCTGCTTTTCCTTCGCACATTATTTATATACTATTTAAAGAGTTGACTTTCATTTTAACGGCGTATGAAGTAACGCGCTTCGTAGAATATGTCCTTTGCAAACTACGTTTACACTATATTATACACCGTAAAAATTAAGGTCATCTTTAAAAACCGACGATTTTTGCATTTTCGTGAAGATGGGACGAAAAGCAAATTTGGCACTTAACAGCCACCGTACACACGTAGGTCAGTGCAAATGGTTTCATTCTTATCGCCTTATCACCTTTACTCGATCTACTTTGACGCTTCCCTTATTTTCCCCTATACTCTCTAAACCAAAGTTACACGATGGCGCTACTTACTGTTCTGATCTTCACACTTTGCGTGGATTCGTCATGGGGATTTCTGTTTAAAGATTCTGCAGGTAGGATTATAGTATGTTTATCAGACGTGGCATTAGTTATCCTTCACCAAAAAGCTGATATAGGGTCGAAATCAGTCGGATCTGCATAGGCCAAATATCATGGCCAATTATCGGATTTTTTTTAAGCAAAGCAAGATGTCTTCGTCACAGGTAAGTTATCTTATTTAGAGAAATCTTACAATTCATTGACTATATCTTACATTTGTAAAGGTATTAATATGAAAAAATGAATCAGTGTCAATAAAAAGAAAACTACTACAGTGTCAGTTCAACAATAAATTTGCAACACTTGAAATGGATATAAAAGGCTGGTGAAGGCACAAAACAAGAGATGTATTTTAGACCCATGTATACTGTATATATAAAAAACCGGAAGTGAAACTAGGTCATCAAGAGGCATACGCTTCTGGCACCACTTGTGGTGCCCGTCATAGTGAAATTTGCGAGTTTATCGTTTCAATTTTTTCTCTGTTCATATGTCACTTTTTCTGCGATCGTGAACAAAAAACACTTTTGAATTTAATCTCTTCTTCGGAAAAATCTAGAGTTCTCCACCTATCTATTGCTGATCTTCTATTCATTAAATTTATAAGCAATTTATCGGTCAACACTTCAAGTTCTAAAACTGATTTGTATACTGACGATATTCCGTACATGTAGCAAACCTGTCAGAAATTAAAAGCCAATTTACACATAACGTATTTTTTCGGACCGTTACTCGACACGTTTCCATACATATGGCGCTATATATCTAACCTTGTGTTTTTGTTTTCCATATTTGTTTAAACTCTTATTTCTATTAATAATGTCATAATGAAAATGAAATTAAATACGCATTATTGTTATAAATTTGTGCTTAGACTTTGATGCTCCGTTTGATTGTTTCCTTTCACACAAGTTTTTGCAACTTATTGCTAGTGCTGCGTTTCTCATTTTTCTTTCCTCGAATTGTTCCGGAATTTCTTTACGGACAACTTAAATGATACTGATCGTACTTCACATGAGTATCGACATGAATGTGCAGATGTGCATTTTAATTTATTTTTTCAATCGGACATCAAAACAATTCACTGTGGACTTTGACATGCAGTTAGGAATTGGAAATGGGTGTGTGCCAAGGTCACGCCATTGGTCCCCCTCTATTTTATTGTATTTAAAACGTTGTTGTTTTAATGCAAACATCAAACATGAACACTGCATCTTTTTCATTGGTCAACATTTTATTATTGATGAATTTTGCCCAAAGTATTTATTATACTTTCTAGTTTAGTTTATAGTTTGGAGGATTTTTCCATGGTCCCCGTCAATATAGTTGTTTAAAATCCTACACTTTATATTTGTTACGAAACATTTGGACCGAACATGATTTTAGCTTGTTACCTTAGTAATTGGGCGAGGGTCAACAAAAAAGTATGGATACTACACATTTAAACATATCAACCACGTTTAATTAAAATTGTCGAGTTTCACAAATCAAAACTCTAATGCGATTATCACAAGATTACATTTTAATGTCAAAAACAGATTTGGATTTCATGAACGGGACTTTAATTGGCACAGTCCAGGACAGCAGAGTGGTAAAAACGTCAGGTTGTGCAGCAAGTCGTAAACATCCGGGTATTTTATATATACACAACGACCACCATCATGCAGGCGCCACTATTTTTGCAATAAACGCCACTACAGCCCAAGTGGTCGGGAGCATTACGTTGACTAATGCGGTTAATTCGGATTGGGAAGACATCGCTGTCGGTCCTTGTCCAACCCGCGAGGGAGTGAGCTGCGTATTCATAGGTGACATCGGGACCGACAAAGGACACCCAGCAGCGGATAATATATATCTAATTGCGGAGCCAGATATGGTTACAGGACAACACAACGTTCCGTACGAGAAAATACTTAAGTACAGGTACATTTCTAAATTATTGGTCAGGTAAAGTTTTCATGAAATTAATTCTTATTGAACAAATATGTACCTCACTGATATAATGGTTGTCTGGTAAACGATTGAAAACAACGGGGGAAATACACATATAAAACGGATATGAGCGACATTAATAATTCTGGTGTCAAAGTGCTTTGTCACTACCCTTGTTCGTGCTTTTAAGTCATGACACGCCTTTGATGTGACCTAAATTGACATGGCGGGTGTTGTTGTTTATGAACAAAACGGTTACACTTTCTTAGTCCTTTCTTAGTCCACGAGGTTTGCTGTAAGCTCGATGGTCATAGTTAACTCTTTTGTGAAGTGACATGGTTCAGGATATATACACTTTACTAATAATTTAATTAGAAATTAAACCGCATTCATCTAAATGTATCTAATATAACAACTATTTCGGTGAATATATAGACCTGGTAATGTGAATTAACTTCATTCGGTTAATATCCCTTTCTCAGGTTTATATTACCACATATTCACCTCAATAAAAGTCCGTTATTGTTGATTGTTACGGTTGTGGCAATCTACCTCTGTCTTTTTTTCGACAAGTATGGACATTAGCATATATGAGTGTTCATTTTAACAGTTTCAGCGAACTTGGATCTGACGCTCTCATGGTGGACCCTAAGGGCGATCTTTACATGATCGCTATACAACGAGGAGGAAATGGTGGATACTATCATATCCCTAAAAACGCTTGGAATTCAAACAGCAGAGTTCCCCTTACAGTAAGCGGTCATATGACCCTAAACACTGGTCACGAAAAAGATCCGGTTGCCGGTGACATTTCACCGGATGGAATTGCAATGCTTGTGAAAACACAACATAGCATGCTGTTGTGGAGATTTGATGCCAACGACTTTACGGGTATGTTCCAACGGCAACCTATGAGTGTTCCGTACATCTACGTTTGGCAAGATGAGGCTGTATGCTGGAATCACGATGGTACTGGTTACTACACTATACCCGAGGGCACTAACCCTCCACTACATTTCTATCCAAGCAGTGGTATCAACTCCTATTAAAGGGACAATCGCATGACGATCGTTGGAATACAATACGTTTTATTGAACATACGAATACAGTTGCAAAAGATAACATTTAAACAAAAAAGTCAATATATTCAGCTTTCTAGTCAAATGTTGATTTTGATATTGCCTTCAGTAAAATGTAAACAAAATGTTTGCATGCGTTTTGTATACCCTCAATAAATAAACAGTATGTCGTATATAAATTGACCAAAATTTTCACGTTTACGGAAAGTGCCGACGGTTCCCGATTGATCCCAGGGGTGCAGAGGACATCAGAAAGCGTGACTTCCTGATATTTCGAGTATGTTGAATGGGGGCTATAATTTCATTCTAGAACTTACATACCATTTATTAGGAATGAATGTACCTGTAAATTAATAAATCAGGCAATCGTTTGCTTTAGTTTACACTTACTTACAGGGACCGAGTAGTTATATTCATTGACAGCTTGTCTGTTCCTCCTTGATTTCCGGTAGACTTCACTAATGACTTCAGTAAGACATGTATCCAGACTTCATGTCTGTTTCTTCAACTCTTAACACTACATGACATTTTACAATAACTTTATATTTGTAAACAAACAATGTTTAAAAAAATATATTTTGCGAGCGTTCGAAAGAGAGACAATTCTGGCAAAGTCGCGATACGATTTTGACAGCTGCCATCACTGAATATACACACCGTTGCTAAGTAAAAATGTCCGTAGCTGTATTTAAACAGCACCACTAAGCATTTGCTTCAGAGAAAGAAAAAAACCAGATACAGTATTTGAAAGTAATGAGGCGCATCTCCAAAAATCAGAAAAATATTTTAAAATTGCATAAGTAAAGTAATAATTAAATACAAAGTAAATTTAATTCCATTTATAGTGTGGATTTGCATATGTTATGTAGAACTATTTTTATAGGTGGAAGGACTTCTTGCTTTTGCCTCTGCATCTATTAATTAAAACATACCGTGACCGGTTTACTGCTTTACAGGCAAGAACACATGTCACGTGACAGGCGATAGCGTCACTTGAACAAATTTTGTCAGAGGCCAAAGGTAAGAAGTTTCGATCATTTTTTATCCCGCCTCCATCCCCTCATCTCCACCAAGCATTGGGGATATTTAAATATACTCATATTTAATCTTCGGAGAGTCATTTATCATGATTGGATTTTGTTTACTTACTTGATGTATGCAAGGGCAAGGCGGTTTTTGCCCCCCTCCTGCGATAGTCATAGAATCACTATTGGATATTGCACAATGACTACATGTATTTTAGGTCAGTGTGTAGTGACATGTAGTGTATACATGTTTGTTCTTTATGTCGTTTTGTGAATAAACGGCCTATTTCATATCACACTGGTATTACTGGTTGTCATTTGCTTTTTGTATAATGAGTATGGCTTGCTGTGTGGCTATAGTAAAGAATCGCACACTATAAACGTTTTTGTGGTAAAACCCATACTTTTTAGCATATAGCAGTGTGTAATTAGGGACGGAATTAAATATATATAAATATGTGGAAGGAAGCTGTTAAGCGAAGAAAAGTCGCTGTCAATTTTCAAATTATTTCTAGGGATGACCACGGAGTATCAATACAATATATATCCTTATTAGAGAATAAAGTTTACACAAGCTTCACCTTTAATTTCAACCCCCTGATAAGTCATTTTTAAGGACACAAATAAAATATCGGAATTTGAAATATTGAATTTGTACTTAGTTATTGAAATAGTACTCGGCGACGTTAATTTAGTCAATGAAAAGGCATTAAGTCTGATATATTATTGAAAATAGTGCTCCGGCACTATGACATGTCAGTCAACTTAATGTAACGAAATAATATATCATCTTAAGTTCGTTTATATATATAAGTCTTACGGAGCATAATTTCTCTTGTACTAGCTGTAGAGAGGCATACCGGTCTCAAATTAAGATGGGTGATTGGAACCGACCATGTGAATTCAGCTAGGTCATACTAAAACTCACCGTTTATTTATTTAAGCAGATGGTGAAAAATAAAACGAAGGTAAAGTTACCTTAGATACTGCCATATCATAACGTTCTGTTGATGAAAACGAAAAGTGCTATGACATTTGTAAAATGTCTAGCTTTTTCATAACAACACTAAATGTTACGAAAGTTCATCTCGGTCACGAGAACATTGGTTTCAACATTTATACAACGGTAAAATTGTGAGCGGAACATCTTATTATGATTTTTGAGGTTTCACAAAGCCACAATCCTTTTAATTTGTATTCGATATAATTCCCTACAACTAGTAAAGGAGAAGCTAAGCTCAGAATAACCTATAAATGAACTTTCGATAATATGTCATTTCGTAGCATTCAGCTGGGTCGTAAAAGTGACTGACATAATAAAATGCCGGTAAACTACAATGTATTTTCATGACGCCATCGACCTTACAGGCTAAGATAACGGCAATATGTACTGATTTCATGACTAAACTACAAGTCTAATATGCCAAAACTACGTGTCTGATTTTTATGTGTAATTACGGTCTTTGAATATGATTTAGTAGGGGGTTAACAGTTTGGGTGATTATAACCATACATACATTTTGTACATTCTGCACAGTTAGTAAACTGTTAATTACATTTTACCTCTGATTGACTATTCCATACATTTTGTAACGGTCACCTTATCCTCTTTTTATCAGTCATATATAACATATAACCACTTGATTCTAATCTGATCAATAGAAACTGATTGAAAATCTGAAAATTTTGAATTATTTTTGGTAAGAGTTATCCCTCTTGGAATTAAGTCTAAATACTTACCTAAAACGGAAAGTGCCGATGGTTCACCAAGTCAAATCGAACAGAATTAATTGTGAGAGCTGCCAGCATTTCATCAAACTTATGCAGTATTATATTTATTGTAATTCATACGAAACATACTGATTTCAGCATCAAGTTTTTAACGCCTAACACACTTATGCACAAATTATTTATCTTACAGCACGTTAAGCGTTCCAATTTCCAATATATATATTTTCATTATATAACATTATTTTATTAAAATGCTATCTGCATTCATACAGTTCTATTTAGGGATACACTTTGGGGCTCTAAGCCCAATCCTAGTTCGAAATGTAAAATTGATGTAAATTTCAGGAGGAGGAAATCTCATTGTATCCGTCAATGGACAGGACTTTCAGTTTGTTTCTTTGAGTTTACCGGCACTTCGACTACTATGGTCAGTAAGGGTCAGTTTTTTTTAGTATGGGGCAACCATTTGATAAATCAAACTAAAATCATATATAAGAGACCGCGGAAAGGAGGTTGTCCTGTCTCGGCTCCGTACTGTTCATACCAATCTCACTCATACTTATCTGATAAATAGGGGAGATGTAACAAAATAAACTCTACCAGAAAAATCATTGACAAAGTAAAATTAAACGTTAGAAGATAATTTACCATCTGTGGCTCTGGGTAGGTGTTTTGGAGAGAATGTCGCGTTGCCGACCGATATGAAAGTTTCACGTACACACTAGTATAGAGTTAGCACCTGTTGTCCGGATACGATTGGGATAATTCGTAAAGATAAACTATCGCTTAGGGGCCATATATGTTGTAACATCGACCAACATATTGGAAGGCACTGCAGAATGTTGGGAGGATAGATAGAATGGTAACGGTCAACTGTATACGTGTACATATTCAATACATAGCAGTTTGCCATAAGATAGTCCGAATTATTCTGACGTTTTATCGACTTTTTTTTATATCGGTTTGTGGTCGATTAACGTCAGAACTCCGGCCCTCTATAATAGCGGGAAATAAGCGACCCGCGCCCGGAGCGCACTTCAAACTGATATTTTAGAAACAAATCGTCACTTTCACACACATATCGCACATGGATCGAATGATCTATTCTTTATGCACAAGATGAACATACATTACATGCCTCAAACAACCAATACAATCACTAAAAACATATTTTTTTCCAACTTAATCTTTTACTCTAGTTTTTTGATAGCCCCGCCTTTTAATGCCACGTGACTAAAATCTCGCCGGCCTACGTCATAACGTTGGGAAATACCTTCGGTAACGCGAGATCTCGTCAAGTCATGTGACATATTGCTTGTCCTAATTTCCATTGAAAACATGGGTTGGTATAGAAAACGTTGGGAAATACTGTTGGTAATGATCTTTGAAACATGTTATTGATAACACCTAGTGCATGAAGAATAGATCTTTCGATCCATGTGCGACATGTGTGTGAAAGTGACGATTTGTTTCTAAAATATCAGTTTGAAGTGCGCCCTGGGCGCGGGTCGCATATTTCCCGCATATTATAGAGGGCCGGAGTTCTGACGTTAATCGACGACAAACCGATATAAAAAAAGTCGATAAAACGTCAGAATAATTCGGACTAGCCATAAGAGAACGGCACGGAGAGCGGAACGGAACGTCACAGAACAGCGCGCGACTCTGGTATATCAGTTATGACAGACCAGAAAGGGCAGTCTTACTATTTAGGCGAGCAGGGTGTCCACATCATAGAAAGATAGTTTTGATAGAGATATTGAAGACACAACGTGAAGTTACAAGACTATTTAGTTGTAGAAGTGTGATATTGTTACCACCTGTACACATGATTTAATGACTATAAGACTCTTTCATATGTACCGGAGGTGGATAGAGAATTCCTCCCGATGGGATCATAAATTGGGGTAAAACCCGATGCTTTAACGAGGGTTTTACCCCAATTATGATCTCCGAGGGAGGAATTCTCTATCCACCTATCGTTACATAAGAAAGAGTATATATCTCTTCATATCTACCATTAAAAAACAAATACTTCACCTCTCAGTGCACACAGGCCGTCGCCATCTTACAGCTTTTAAATACTTTCTCCGTGGTTTAAAAACAAAAATAGCAGTAGAAATGAATTTTCCATACCCTCAAACCCCAACGCTGTTGTAGGCATAAAAACAACTCATTTCCATGATAATTCTATGGTTTAGTTGTTATTATACTTTCTATTTTCCAAAGGCATTCTCTAAACGCCATCTTTGAACCTCATCGCTACTGACTGTACACCTCAGTTAGTGCGCAGAGAAATAAAGTTCCTAGTTAAAAATAGAAAAACAAATTATGTTTTTGTTGTCAAATTTTTAATTTATGACTGAACATGTAATTAATTGATACATGTCCACCGGAGTTGCTCCCCTTAGTTTTTGTATTTCTACGCGACGTGATTAGCCCATGTAAGATAGACTCAGCAAGCATGGCTATCTTACATGGCCAGTGTTATCTTACATGACTGGATATGAGAGAAATTGTTACGGCTGCTGTGTTACAGTAGCTACCAACATCCCTCACATGTGACTCCGACCACAGGTAAGAAAGTTAGGTGGGGTCGACTTTTCGATATCGAGAGCTTTCCGTCCTTCTCCTATATATGATCATTGGGGGTGTCATTCCGAAAGTTGATATAAACCCCTAAAACATGTAAAAAATATTTTGAACACATTAGTTTAGGTCCAAATATAGCTGAAACAAATTATCAGGTCCCTGTGACCCCGACTGGACAGACAAGGTTTAAGTTTTGATTGTACTTTAACTTTCGGTAAAGATTTACATATATATATTCAGCAAAAATTGCGATAGTTTATGGCACCCAAGAACACAGAATGCTCATTTAATTAACCCTGTACCATATATTTCAATACTCATACCATATACACGTATATACTTCTCTGTTTATCACAATAGCTGGTGCATGGCTCGGTTATTGTATGAATCGAACCCCAGCTAAGACTCGAACTCAAAGGGGGCTATGGTCCGTAATTTAATCAAGTATTTATACAGCACGACTTCTAGACTTGTACCTAATAATAACATAGCTAGTCTTTAAATCGAGTCAAACATAACTTTTCTTCAAAAAGGTTATGATTCTTAAATGTATTCACGGTGAAGTAACAACCACGGCTTCATTTCCTTGGCGTATTTTTGTATCGTATGCGGCTGGTGACCTGTCTTGAGATAATCTAGATAATCGCTCATTGAGGGGGCTAATGATAAAAACGGTTACACAAACTAAAAGGAAGCAGAAAATCTTTATAATGAACTGCATTTAGACATGGCGCATAGTTCGTTATAGCCAATAAATCTTCATAAAATGTTATGCTACATTAGACAATATCATACCAAAAGATGTTACTTCGTTATGACCATGATTTCGCAAAACGTGTTCGAAGTCCTCGGGACCAATACAAAATATTCGACTTATCCTAAGTTCGACTCTACCGAGTTGTATAATGTCGAATGACCCGAGCTGTATTCCATTGTTAAGTTTCTGTACATATGTATGTATCTTATCACGTAAGCCTTGTGCTGCACGGTGTCTGATGAACTGTGATGGCGCCAGATCAGATGTGGACCTCATCTGACTTCATACAAGTACACGTACCATTATGCCTTCTTGGTTCGCAACTACAGTGATTCATATGGTCTACTCGTCTGTGTAGAGGTAGACTTACCGCTTGAGTACTGTTGTTGTGACGACAATTAGCCGGCGAACCTTAAATGTAAACATTGTTTGTTTATCACAGGCTGTAGGACGAACCAGATGCCTGTTGAATTCGCAGATTATTGACTATTGTGTAACCTCCTATAGTTTTATTTGTTAAAATATCTTTTACGGATGAATTGCCCTAGTAGGTAACGCTGTATCGCTCCATGGAGGGGTGCGAAATTCGACATAAAACCAGTCATTGTCATGTTACGCTAGGTGTTGTAAATATAATACAGTAGCATTTTTTAAACTCTATCTGATATATGTTGAAGTCTAAAAAACAACTTTGCAGTAAATCTATTGTAGCGTTTTGTTCTAGAAACACGCAACGGATACATGTCCTTTAACAAGACTGATTATTTTTATTTGACTGAATGGAAACCATGATTCCACAATAAACATTTGTTCCAACGGCCTTCAAAGTGCAATACACTGGGGGTGATAGAACGTTTATCAATGCAAGTCGTTGGATCTGCTTCTATAGTTTTTTAAGCCGTTATGTGTCATTTTTTGCTGTTAAGAATCATAAAGAAAAAAGAAATAATTATAGTAACTTCTGAAATAAATTTAATAAATATGCACAAACAAAAAAACAAACACAATACACTGTCTGAAACAACAATAAGAAATTTAAAGATACATATACGTGTATTAACATATTCGTGTAGACTCGCGTGACAATCTAAACAGGCCACTAGATAGCTTTGTAGATGTATATAAGTATGTAAATTGAAATACTGATTTATTTACAGTTTCTTTTTTTGAATGTATATAATAATAAATAATTGCTATCATTTGGCCATGTACGACCCTATTTCGTTTCTGCGCCTTTAAGAAAAAACTCAAATACAAAGGATCGATCATAAATTCAAATCAATATTACAAGTGGTCAATCGCCAAGAATAAGATCAAGATTTGGTTGTTAGGAAAGACAAAATTAGGAGAGAAAAGGAAAAAGGAGTCGTATCTACGTTAAGTGACTTCGAGTATATAATACATACATGCATTCCCTTTTTTCATAATTTATCACCAAATATGTGATAAAACGAAAATCCGCATATTTTACATTTCTTGCATATGACATAAATGCGATCTTATACACGAGAAGATATTTCGAAATGCTTTCAAAAAAGTTTGCACTGATATTATAAATAAATGTTAAAAGCAGCTATAATCTCAACAAAAGTACTTATGAAGTGACAGAATCATCGCAAAATAAAAATCAAGAAAAATTTCAAAGCTGTTGTTCAAAGACCTGATTGTCAAATAGTGGAACTATAGATTTTTTAAATGCATTATCAACTACAAACAGTTCCCGATGTAGACCATTATTGTGTAATGATACTATTGCCAGAGGTTTAAGTTAACGGGCACCAAAAAGTTAAACAATATCATTACCATTGTCACTTTTGTAAATTAGTTTTTCAAGTCCTTTTCAAAAGAAATATTCCATAAAAACCACATTTTGCAATGGATTTTACGAAATTTTAGATGTTCAAAATTTAATGTGTTGGAAGAAAAGAAATAAAAAAAGAAAACAAGAAAAATGCAGGAGTCGAACTCGGGAACTTTTCATTACAAATTACTTTATCAATGTTGTCATACAGAAATTACACAATCATAGTTATGAAAAAATAAATGTCCAAATTTTAGGCTACAAAAAGAAAAACTAGCTGCGATAATACTAAAACAAAAACAAAAACAAACAAAAAACCAGTCGGGCCTAGAAGCTACGGTTCCCACAGATAATGAAAAACTTGACAAATGGAAGTTACTCTTAGCTAGAATAACTCCATTTTGTTGCTTTATCTTCTATACAAGGTATATATCGCGAAACCATTCTAATTTTTGATTAATTGCTCAATAGAAACCTTTTTTTTTCATTTACTTTTTTTTCTAACGTATACCTACTACATGATATAACTAGAAATTTCAATTTTGCAGATATCCTGAAATTGTTTAAGATTGAATAATTTGCAATGATTGGAAATTTCAAATTCAAAATGCACAACGTAAAAACTAATGCAATGATAATTGTGATATGATGGAATACTAATTGTGGTATGTTTTGATTCTGGATAGACTGTCGGACGTACAATAGTGCGAACTTATAAAGATTGCAATGAAATAAGCGATTTACTGTTGTCATGGCTGATGCATATTTCCTAGTGTTTACAGATCAGATAGATTTGATCAGTAGTAGTGACGTAATATACAGAAATCTAAATATATTTTTTAAAAGTTATATTAACTTAGACCTTGATATCGTATCTAAATGACCTTAAATTACCTTATTGATAGGACGTTAAACCAACCAATACTGCATTCAAAAGTTTCAAAAATGTTTCAGTCTATGCTGAAAGATTATGTCTGGAGGAAACTCTTAAATCAGAATAACATTTAATGATAATTTAGGAGATTAACTTTTTTCGCAAATAAGTTCATACCCATTCGCTGACGTTTGCGAAACATAGGTGATTTACAACAGCCGTATAGTACAAATTGACAACAGTTTATGAGGGATGACGTTAGATTGACTTATGCACCGATTGTGTAGAACAATCAACTTGAATCAAAATATTCAGCAGCCTAGGCAAAACAAGTTTATGGCGACAAGGGTAGCAACAACGGTTCATGTGTTAAGTTACACAGTCAGTCATCCAACCACATAATGAGACGGTGTATGAACTCCTTTTCACATAACATCTTATAACTTAACACTTCGCACACATAGTACCTTGCGGGGAACGAAGAACGTAAACACGCTTACTTCAGAACAATTGCAATAATTTTCGATATGGTTCGATATATATTTATTCATCATATCGTTTGAAGATTGCACGATGGTGAGAAAATCTAAATAAATAAAAAAATTACAACCATTTGTAGGAGTTGGCATCATCAAAAGGTATGTACTCCTCGTGAATAACAACTCTAGATTGGGGTTTCCGACATTTTGCTTCCCCGTGACGTTTAAAGCACAGCTGTTCTGTCTTTCGTGCATCCTCCCACTGGTTCAATCTAACGTAAGATAATCCAATGATTTGGAAAGGTCGAATTCGTTGGTCGTTCACTTGAAGAGCACTCTCGGCACGATGGATTGACTTCGAGTAAAGACCAGCCGTGAACAACCAACTAGCTTCGTATTCTAACACAGTGGCGTTATCACCGTCCAATAAATTAATGGCATACTTTTGCGAAAGTTCTTTTTCCTGACTAGATAATGCTCTATGAAGAACAATGTGTGCTCCGAATGAAAATACTGTTTTGAAACCAATTTCCCCGAACGAGGACTCCCGAATGCGATTTGTTACTATGTAACTGTATTGCATTCTACCCAGTAGATGTTTGGTTAAGTACACAATGTTTGACGAATGTATGAAGTCAGAGAATCTGTTGATAACACGAATTCCCGGTTTATTCATAAATGATGACGTCACGTTGGGGTACTCGTGGTACTCATTGTGAATAAGTATGACAAGTGGGACGTTGTGTTTGATGATAGAAAGTCCCGCCATTTGATATAGACTGACGTCAACAAAAACTCCCGAGACGTGCGACTGTCGAGAAATAAATTCCAGACACGCATTCACCTCCGCGGATTCCTTCTTTCTCTTGGTTGCTAACGTGTTTGGGTTGTCATTTATTGACGGAAATGTGAAATATGTGTTTGTTGCGTAAGACACTATTAATAAATAAAACAAAACTTTTGACTTCCGATTAGACAAAAATAACACATGACTGATGACAAAGTGCAACGAAAATGCTGACGTCATCATCATCAGGACGATGACGTTGTGAAGAAACCGTATTTCTTTATGCCCGACCATGGAATACGAACAAAACAACAGAAAACAAGCGACACATAAAGCTATCGTGAGATGTTGTTCCTTTTTATATGTTGTGTTGAAATATTTTGTCACCAGTAGGCAAACACAAATGGCGGACGTGGAAAAAAACACACTTGTAAACCAGCTCTGGAGAAATATTCCATCAACATACACGTCAAAACTGCTCGTACCAAACAAGATGCTTGGGATGTTTGTTTTAAGGTTGATGCGATACCACTGTAGAGGCGACAAGAACCAGGTTCCATATACTTGTTTGTCAACAAAACCTCCCAAAAGTACGCCTAAAATGAACCCAACACCTGTATTAACAAACTTCGTCCATAGTCTCCTCACATAGGAAAAATTATCGTACAAACATTTGATAGTAAACACTGTGAGTATAACTACTCCAAATAACGTGATGTCTGTTCTGATGTAGCAGACGACACCTAATATAAATCCACTTCCGGATAGTTTTGTTAAATGTTTTTCAAACAGTTTAACATAGTTTCCATCATTATGATAGTGTCCTTTAAAATGTCTATGCCAAGATGCAGAAAGACCATTTGGACTTTTACCGTTTTCAATAAGTTTTGGTGATCCATTTACCACGTGTGTATATCCATTTTGATGTGGCTTGCTCACCTTTGTCTGAGGTCCTCCATTTTCTAAAAAAATAGATGTATGTCCATTTGTAATGATACCGTTTGAATGTACGCTTTGTTTCAATTCTTTTGAACCCTGTTCACTGGAATTTAAAATAGACGCAACAATGATCGACAAAGCATGAAATAGAAAAGGTGAAAGAAAACTATTGACCAGCGTGTGTGTGCCCAACACTGTTAAATTTTGTGAAAAAGAAACAAAAATGGCGGCCATCCATGCAACATCCGGGTTCTTATATACAGTCCGGGAGAAGTTAAACACAGACACCGGAAGTAGTGATGTAATGATGACGTGGAAAAGTCTCCCCAACTGAAAACAGAACAAAATTATATATTAATAACTACATGTGTACGTGTATAATATTTATGTCAAATGAGTGACAATATTTCTAAAATATCTTACTCGTTCATGAAATATTCCTGCGCAAACTGGCATGCAGAGTATTCCTACTTATGTATATCTATATCGTAAATGATCACAATTCATTTTTTTGAATCTTAGAACAGACAATACATTTACTTTTGTCTTTTTGGACAAAAAATATAAATATAAATTATTTTGATGTATCAGTTTTTTAATAAAAAGAAAAGAAATACAAGAGAACATTTCAACAGATGGTTTCAACATGAACAGCTGTTTACAAATGCTAACGGTTTATGTCCTAAGATTACCAAGCATTTTAGTCGTTCTCATGAAAAAGGGATGTACATTGCTTAATTATTACTGATACAGACTATTTAGCCATTTTGGCTTTCTATAAGAAGCTGGCCAAGGTTTGTTGATTTGAATTATGTTTTGAGTAACATTTAAAGATTTTGTAGATCGATACTTCACGCCTGCATTATTAGAAAATGTATTGTTGAAATCGTACCATGTCCCAGTTGATAACCCCTTGACAATTGTAATAAAAGCGATGTATTGCTTATCCATGTCACATACATTCCTTACTAACACTATACATAGTCTCGCGGTCAACCTGTGTTTATACAAACACCCAGTCCATCAGTTCATGTTTATAAGTCAAATTATACAGAAAATATTAAAAGTATTTGTTGAAAAGCCTTTGCAGTTTGCAAAAAACTACTAACAATGTAAAGGGAATATGACTCTTCTATGTCCATCTTGGAAGTAAATGCTTCTAGACGCAGAAAAGCCTTTTTACAGAGTATTTGTAAATGTTGTTTTGGGGCACTAATACATACCAAATATGGATTGTAGTCGTATCCTACTACGGCCGCCATTTTAAAAACAAACGTGTAAAAGAGCGGGAATATGAAGGAACGCATACTGAACATCCCATTCGTCACTTCCTGTTCTTCAACAGAGGTGGTCACGTTCACTGGCGGAGGTAGGTACTCGTAGGTTCGAAAGCCATATCCTGATGCTTCAGAAAACCCAACTGAAACAGGTAATGAATTAAAATGAGATTACAGGATCGAGAACACTGGCAAAACCAATCGTAGAAATACAGTTCTATAGAAAAATTCGAAATCTAAACGTCGCAACTTTTGAAATATGTTTTTATTTGATTGTTTATTTTTTCAGCAGAGCTGATTGTATAAGGATTGTAAAATCCTAATTTTGTTAGAACAAAGTATCTATGTATGCTATTGGGAAATAATATTACGCTGTCAAGTTTAAAAATTGAGCAAGGCTTTATAAAATTATAAAATAAATTGGGGTAAAGGCGAGAGCGAGAGTGGTTAGTTACGTGATTGGTTGTAAGCTTTAAGTTACACGACGACGGTGTCTACCAGTCATGTGGTCACCCATAAGCCAATCTCAAAGTGTACACCACTGGAATGACACACCGTGGTCATGTACGTATGTCCCATTACCCAGTCATATTATTCTGACAACGAGCTAAACAGACGTACCTAGGGATACGTCCTCTAGAGGGAAATATACACGAGAGACAGAGATAGAAAAAACAATGTATCAGTATGGTAATTCATGTTTCTATGGTAACCTCCTTACAGGTAACACAGCGAAAAAAAACACGTTTCAAGGACTTACAATTGCCGCCTCATATCAGCATTTCAATAAATGAGATACAGCACGTTGCAAGGTAAAGTGGATAGATGAAATTTCTACTTAAATGAACTTAATCAATCCGAAACAAGGCTAATATTTACGTTTGGTGTAAGGAAAAAAGGTATGAAGAACACGGATATCGTTACTGGGAAAACCGTTATCCGATACACTATTTTGAAGTTTATGATGTGTCTAGTTTCTTGTTGGTGTCATTTTTATATGCTCTGGTGTAGTCTCGCACCAGGTGTGGATATCATACACCTGTTTGTATACGTTTCTTACACTTGTCACAATAGAGCTTAAACAAACCTATGATGCACTGCAGTGTTCGCAGACGCATTTCTTCCTGAACGTCTTGCTATTTCCCAATGTAGGAAGTGCGGATTTGAGATATAGCTCGAAATTTCCTTCATTATAATATTATGGTGTAGAATTTGAACGTTTTTGCTCCAGAAATTACATATAAATGAAAATTAATTAATGATAGATGATTATTAACACAAGATTTATATACATATGTAGCACCTACGAAATCCATTATCAATACATGAATTAATGTTCGCCTTAACGGTGTGTCATTAATTAGTAGACAAAGCATTAACATATATGATGGTGATTAACAATCGGTGATTAATATGCCAAACTTTAATTAATCAAATCAACGGTATGCATACATTTCAGTAAATGTATTATAAAACGCAAGATATATACAATAAAGTTCATAAATTAAAATTAAATGTGAAAATAAGCATACCTCAGTGAAATAAATTAAAAAGCTATTATATGCTCTTATACTCATTGCCTAAAGACGATTTGTAGAAAGACATTATAGAAACGTTTGTTTACTTTTTCTAAGTATGCATAAAAAGTGTATGTACCTTTAGATATTTAACTTTTTCTCATTTTTTTTATATATATCTGTTATCTTATTTTATTAAAACGTAATAAATTTACTTGCTGGGCAAGTAACATGTGGTTAATTTGAGGAAGATTATACAAATATTAACCTTAACTCATACAAAACTGCTTGTAGCACCTTAGTAAGGTCAGATTATCCATAAATGTTTTAAGAAGATTTAAAAACATACCTATTATTCACAGTGAGTACTTGGGCAAGTAATGCAAAAGGTTGTCATTTCGAATTCTTAATTATTTTTCAATGGCACAAAAAAATACACATTTCGTCTATGAAACTAAGGAGCCAGAGTTCCCTCTATGATATTCGTGACGGAAATCAATCATTTAGAGTAAAAACATAATGGAAATGGATTCAGCTAAATTATTAGAATTCTAAAAAAAATAACTATATGGTTATTATATTTGTTTGAGTGGCGTTACAATCAAGGATGTCATCTTGAATTTATGATTGCTTAACCCGTTTATTTGATTGAGTCTGGCAAAAAATCCATCATATCCATTTATTGCTTCAAATGTTTGACACAACTTTATCGTTGCAAATATTAACAGATCAAAACAACTCTTTACAATGTAATTCATGCAAATAATATCATCTCAAAATATATCTGAAATAACAGAAGAAAACACTGCACGCGATCGAAGAGAAATTGAACAGAGAGTATAAAATTCACGGTTAAGAGGTATATCTGTTATATGCTAATGAATAAGTACAATGTATTCATACATGTATTACAAAATAATGGATTTATTGAGAAATTTGCGTTTGAGTCATCATATCAATTCTTACCAACACTAACTATTTAGTTTATTAAATGACGAAGCGAGTTTTGAAATAATACTGTCGAAATATGATAGACTTGCATCATTTATCAAACAAAGATCCCACTGTTCCGAATTTTAAAAACATGACTTATTTAGTCTTTTAGCTGACACATTCTATGAATAGTTTTTTTTACAACACGTGTATTTTAAGAAAATAATATTATTTCTTCCTTGTTAATATCAATTTACATTCACAACAGAATGAATGAAAACACGGTATCGAACATATATAAATTAAAATATTAACCCGATTTAATACATTTTCAATTTTTCATAATGAAATCATACAGGGTTTCAAGCGGACACTAAAACATTCATCAATGATTTTATCTGTATTGACCGAAGTATAAATAAAAAAAGAAGAAAAAAAAATATATAAAACAATGGGGTCCACAATCGCATTTAAGTCCTATCATACGATTGCGCCATTCGATATATAATTGGTTTCATGATTTGCAACCAAATTAATGCCACAGTTTGTATTTCTCAAACCCGAAATAAATGGTGTTTTGAATCAAACAATGGTTTACAATACGCCATAGCAAAAAAGGAGCTGATTCTGGTCTCAAATTCAGGTTTTGGCGGAACCCAAAAACCTAAGGGAAATAAGTACATTGCATCTCAAGCTTTACTATATCTCTGTTATATGAAATATGAAAGTCAGTGTAATTTCAAATGAAAAGGTCATATAGAGACTTTCCCTTTCTGAAGTTAAATCTGTATCAATTAAAAGAAGATCATCATGTTTGTTTTTTAAACTGTATAACACTTTGTACCACAAACTGCAAGAAACCGTTCTAAAGAAGCATATAAGAAGCGCCATTGTGATAGAGTATGAATTCTCAACATCAAAACACCAACTTCTATGTTCCCAGCGTTTTATCCCATCATCGTATGCTTTACATAGTTTATTACATCTGATGAGGAATACCTGTTATGAACTTTAAGAGTTCGTAAAATATCTGATACATTTGTATTTGGATATTTTGCATATACTACGTCAAACTTTTGTAGTTGTATGCGAAAATGATAAAAATATGAAATATGTTTGTTAGGCATACATTTCAAACCAACACGTCTGCGGCAGGGGTCATCGACCAATGTTAACGTGTCATAAACTGTAACCATGAATTGGAAACAAAACAGCCACGTTCTTCTATAAGATTCCTCAGTTAGGATACATGTAATATGTCATAGTTTTACTTTATACACAATGTCCGTATAAACGTTTCAAGACCGACTGGTCCCTTTGTCAAGCTATAGATGAATGAGCGATTTGTATTCTTTACCTGTACAGCGATGTGACGACGAAATTTTACATTCATATGTCACTCGACCAGGGAAGTTTCGCCTATAGATAGAGAGTGTATACACACTTTATCGATTAGGTTACTGGTCGGCTGAATATCAAGCCCCCACTCCCGTTAGGTCAGTATCAGGTCAAACAGATGACGCAGATGGTGTCCCCCCTCGTCTCTATTCATGTTTGCACAGGTTAATAACACAAATCGCTCATTTAGTAATAGCTTGGGAAAGGGACCAGTTGGTCTTGAACCGTAGCAATGATGCGTGTACATTAAAACTTTATACACAACAAGAGTGATTAATATAAGTTGCAACAGCTAAAAAAATCAGTTCCAGTTTCTAGTGTTTTGCCTGCAGAGGGACAGGGAATAATGAGGAAAAAGGTGAAGTGTGAACTAATTAAAGTATCTGTATCAATCAACAAAATGAAATAAGTAGCATTACAGATTCGATTTAAAGGAAATAAATGTTAGCACGAACACAAGATGTAGTTCTGAAAGGCCTAAAACCAGTCAGTCTTTTACGTTTATGAAGCTTTTCGTGTTAAAGTCTACTTTAGCAACAAGTTGTCATTGGCAAATGCAATAAACGTTTTGAATTAAAAGAGCTATTCGCTTTAATCTAACGTCTCGTAATTAGTCTAGACAATGTTTTTTAACTATGACTTAACGTAACTACGGGGGTCTCTGGGTACTGCAGTGCTAAATACATTAGGTGGGTTCAGTCAATGATATAGAGTTTCTATTTATGTAGCAATGTTCACGAAAGTGTCGCGCCAAAACACTTCCAACTTAATCTCTTTCAAACGAAATCGTACATAATCTTTTACATTTTTTTAGTTGTATTTATAGGATAAGTTTCATGTGTATTCAAATGAGAACAATCGTAGCCCGACTGGCAAAATTCTCTGGCCACCCAAAATGCTTTTGTTATAAGAATCAATTTAATTCGTGGATTTTATAGGTAGTTTTAGAAATTTTAAAAGCCCTTTACTGTTCCATTCGGAGACTTCAATTGTCAGATATACAACGTTACAACAAAATATCTCGTGAAGATTTATGGGCTTGACATATGTAATAACATAATTGCATTCAGACACAAGAGTTCGCCCTTCTTCCGGTCATGCCTTCAACATTCCCATCCTTCTATACTGAACATTCGAGATGTCTTTTTGTCTCCTATTTTATTAAACAATAAAGTTTATCCATATTTATCAAGCGTGTAGATTAAGTGACGGTCACACTCATTACCTGTCAGGCAGATATCTCTGGTCATACCTGTCTGAACACCAACGTACCATGTTGTCATATGATAAACGAT